AAAATGGAAATCCACTGAGGAGCTAAGAACTCTGGCAATCGAATCTCCGAGTAAGAATACGCAGAGTAGTTCGATTGATCACATGTCGGGCACGCCCATTCACTGTGCACCCGCCGGAGACTCCACCCTAGACAACCAAAATAGCAAATAGGCGACACGTGCGGTTCTCAAGTGCCGAGAACACACCGGTGTCGCCGGAATGGGGGTACTATGCGTCCTTGACGCTGTTCACTCACCCTCGAAGTTTTTGTTTACGCTCGTGAGAGGTAGGCGGGCGTCTCGCAACTCGAGAACCACGTCAGTGCGCGCTAGCAAGGCAGGAAGGATTCGAGAGAATTGCGTCATATGTCCAGGGTACCATGACTGAGGCGGAGGTAATGGTGGAGGCAAGAAATGCGACAGCATCGTGGCAAGTCCGTGGTGTAGAGGTCTAGAAGAACGCAGCGTCAGATGTATGTCACTTAGGCGTTTGCGATCGTTGCGTGACGGCACTGGGCACTCGAGCACGCAGGGGAGCGCCAGATCATCGCAAAAAGGGAGGCCAACACCCGTGCTTAGGTTTGACGTACATTTCTGGCCCGGGAAGTAATAGGGTAGGGTGCCCTCTGCCACGTTGGCCAGTTGTTCAGCGGTGTTAGACGACAACAGACGATAGCCGCGCCGGGCTGGTGGGATGTCCAAATATGGAAATCCTGGACTGGCAAGTCATCGATCAACCTGTCAAACCAAGACGCAACGGGAGTTTGGCGGGCACTGTCCTCATTGTCTTCCGACTCGACTCTCTCACTGTTCGTGATACCAACCCTGATCCGGCCCTTCCCTATGAAACAAAGAAGAGCCCGGGGTTTGTAAACGTTTCTATCAATTCTTCCTGTAAATCACAGGTGTTCGGTTGAGCTGTAATCTACTTTCGAAGGAGAAATACAAAGAAATACTAAGATGACTGTTCGACGTTTTCGCAAGAGCTGGAAGGGGATACTGGCTGCAGTGGTAAAAAGGGCGTATGAAATACATGTGGATGGTACTGATGTGTGAAAAGATCGCAAAAGCTGGCCGACACATAGGATGAAATGAGGGGGATATGCATGAGAACGCAGAGCAACCGAAGGGAATGGGATCCAAGGATGAAAGCAAGAACAGATAAGAAAACAAAAACTGAGGGTACCGATGGAAGTATAAATACGGGAAAGATACGATAAGCGGTATGCACTGCCGGCCGCAGCACAAACCGCAGCGCCAATCATCGCTTGTAAGCCAGGCTAGGTAAGGTTTAGAGAGGCGTGCGGTCGTGACTGGGGAGGACATGACGCACCAGTTCAAACCCATGAGTCTTTTCCAAGCCCAATCGCATCGAAACTTTTACCACTCCGGGTCCGCCGCTCCTCCAGGACCTGCACAGCATCGAGGTTGATCAACTTCTCCGACGGTGGTGGCGACCCCTCCACCCAGCCCTTCCAGCCTTTGCGTGCTGCGGGACGCTTTTTGCGAGGTCGAGATGCGCGAGGTGTATCGGAATTGGCAGCATGTGATTCGTCCAGGTCGGAATCATCTCCTGGAGTGTGTGGTCTCTTGGACGATGTCCGAGACGTGCTAGACGAGACGGAGGGATCCGGTGTCGTAGGAGGGGAAGAGGGCATAGGTGGTGGCGTGACCGACACAGAACGCTGTGTGGTGGCGAGGTGCAAGACCGGCCGGGAACCCCAGGCTGACGAAGACTGGGGTTCAAAAAGGAAATCTTTGGAAGGTACGGGAGTATCGGCGATGGGGGGAACAGTATCGAGGTGAGCGCCCAATTCACCATTTACAGGCTCATCCTGGGCCGATTTGGCCCTTTTCTTCACTCTTTCGCGCGCCTTTTTGTCTCTCCGCCTCTCCCGCTTCAGGTCGTCTCCAGACTCTACAAGGGTGTAACGGGGGACGCCATTTAGAAGGCTGGTGAGGACGTCCCTAGGCGGTCGAGGGTCGAAATCGCCGGCGAAGACAGAAGTAGCGGTGCGACGACGACGTTTATGGGGTGGAACGGTAGGGAGATGGACGGGGAGAGTAACGGCCATGTTATCAGGGTAAGGATGGTAGTGGGGGGATATATATCGCAGGTGTTGGGTAGAGCAGTGAGCGTGGTGGCCTAATAAACAGACGAGTGAACGCCGGCTGTTATACTCAAACGGCAGTTTGTGAAACGTAAATAAATAGACGACACGTGGTTTTGTTTACCATTTCCCACAACCAGATAACTCCACCCCGTATTTATTTATTATTTTGTCAGACAGAGAAGCTCCGATGCCCCATCTGTGCTTCCCTTCCATTTTCTCATTCTCAGGGTCTCTCCCCAATAAGATCTTATCGTATCTTTAGATAACCTTAAATACCTATTATTTTTCCAACTTACTGCTACTGTATTACCCGCTCCATGAAACAAAGCCAAGCCTTGTCTGGGCCCCTGGCGTAATTAGACCCAGTTCTGTCCCAGCTTCTCCCCCACGTCCACACAGTCTCCCGCTTAACTTATCCGCCTCCGTTGCTGTGGAGACACAACTGTCCAAGCAGCGCCTCCTCTATGGATCTCTCATGCCCGACAATCCGGACACTCTGGCACATCCCCTTACTGACAGCGCGGCTAACCGTCTTTGGGGCCCTTGAGCGCTCCTACCTTCCCGAGTTGCATGTTTGGGCCTAGAAAAGCCTCGGTTTCTTCCACACTCATAATTCCTGACTCAATCCAACCAGTCCCCGATTTCGGAACAAAAATTATTGCGAATGACTCGATCTGGTAGTCAGACGACTGACTCTAACGACTCTGAATAGGCGACAATGATTCTTTAATACATTCCGCCATCGGAAATCCCCAGAGCGGCTCCGCGGCGCGATCCGAGGAGGATCCGTTGTCTAGCGCACGTTTGTTCTTCGTGATCGCTGGCCTGACACGACCACTATTCCTGGCTTGTGCTCTTCTCACACCCGGGCTTGGGGCATCACAACGAGTCAGCAACTTTGCGAATGTAGGTGTGCACTACGAACCCTACAGTCTACGCATTTCAGATCATCGGTACCGCGCTCTCATCGCCCCCACTCCAGGGAATTCTATGCGGAACAGCGGCTCCGGTGCCACTGTATGGCTCTTTTGGTCTCCTCCTCAAATACCCAGTTAATGGTATTCTCTCTCCACACAACCCCATCCAGCTTGAGCTTTGATTAACGATGGCCGATCATCTTCTTGTTCTAGGCAACTTTGAGAACTTGCTCCCCCTTCCCCCCGTCAAACCCTGACAATTCCAGTCACAGCACGCGATAGTCATTTGTCAGACCATTGCCTTTTTCTGCAAACGCCCCGCGTTGTTCCGCTCTCTCGTGACCTGTATCAGCTTTTACTGGTAGCGTCGTTGCCCATCTACGGTAATACATCTGCGTCGACTGTCTAGGATATCACCTTTGCTGTGAGGGGAAATGAAAAACAGATGAAATTTGCTTTTGTGGCTACATCAGATGGTCGGCCCCATCCCAAGTTCACTGCTTGCGGTAATATGCAGATGTCTGGGCATGAGCTCTGGGCTCTATGGCAGTGGGAACTGCTTTTTGCTGTGCTTCTCGGGTCTTCTATTTCTGGATTTGCCGCGCCACCTGAGGTAACCGAGGCCATGCAACAGCCCTCACGAGCTGTGCGGAGGCGGTCCTCCCCTCCAGGTGGGCAGATCCAGAAAGCCAAAGATCTACCTCCCCTACGCGCTTGCGATAGCCTGTAGACAGTGGGATAGCGGATAATAGGTTGCCCGCAACACAATCCATCAGCCGATCGTTTGATTGCCCGAGTCGATCACCTGCTGCCTTGCAGGTCACGTATCGCATACCGGGCAGTCCGGCGTGGCGATGCGCAACGCTAATGTCGCTTGCGAGGGTGCGCACACTGGCAGGTTCGAGTGCGGCTAGGCTAGGCTAGGTTGTCGGAGCAACCCACACACAGTCGATCAAGAACACCCACCCTAAAAGAACAATCCCAACCACTTCACCGCGACATGAACGAAGACCAGGACGATCGCAAGAGAATTTGATCTGCCAGTAAGGCCTTCACACCCCAAGCTGCACAAAGATGGATCCGCGAATTAACAATTAAAAATTAAAAAGCAAAATTAAGCTACAATACAACAACGCAGCAAGTGAATTCGACACAAGTGAAGAAAATTTTCTTTAGCTTGGATCCGGAGCAAGAACGGACAGCACACAAAAATGGGCTACACAAAAAAGGCCTAGACTATTGTTTTCGCCGAGTCCATGGGCAAGATAATGATGATTTTATTATGATAATAATTATTTCTCCCCCCAGCTATTAACTTGCCCGCAGCCGCAGCATTCGGGCGGACCAGCAATGGCTCACCACATCTGTAGAGGTGTGTGGAAAGTATCGCCTTGGTGTTTGCTAAAATTGTCCTAACCATTGTATTACACACGCCAGTTTACGGATGCACATTGGTAAATTCACCGACAGCCGTGGTGACCACGGGCTATTGACCATATCTATCGATCTCTTTTGTTGTGCCCTGGCTATACAGGAGGGGCTGAGCGCGGGCGGCTAGACAGGACGTCTGTGTCCCATCTCTATAGTTTTTACATCGATGTGGCGCCACGAGTTATATGTGGGGTCCTTACATATGTCCGCGGAGAAGGTCGCTGTCGCCACCGCCGCTCGAGTTGAATGGTACCATCCGTCCGGCGTCAGGCATCTGGACTGGACGACGACCCTCGGCATCTGCATTGTGCCACGGGCCGAAGACCGGCCGCCATTGTTGTGTTTGAAGCCTTGAATGACTTGTCATGTGTTTCGCGTTGCGCCTTGAATAACTGGGCAATTGACGCCTAGACTCTAGAGAAATACAAAAAGAATACACGACGGTGTTTTGGTCGGAGGACGGAGATCAAATCAAATCAAAAAAAACTAATTAGTCTCCTTCCGCTCGCTGCCCTACTTCGAAGGCGCTCCGCGTCCATGAGCACATGACAAAAAAGGATTCCCATTAGCCGACTTGAACGACTGACCTCGTCATTGCGTAAGCGAGCCATGCCCAAGTTACTAGTGACGCGCTCTACCAGCTGAGCTAAACGGGAATATAACTCCTATAGTATGTGATCCATATAACCCGCCTCGTCTTATGGCTCTGCGGCGATCAACCTCTTAGTTGTGCCACTTGTCCTCTGTTTGGAAACTCGTTTCTTCCTTCCGCCGCTAATACGTCCTTGGGCACGATCGAAGTGCCAAGTTCACTGCTCACTACAACAGGCATCTATCTCTTTCCCAGAGGCGCCACGTACGAGGGTGCCAGTCTGGCACGAATCACGATCGAATGAATCACCAAGAAAGCCCTAGCCCCATACACCAGCAATCTCCCACGTCTCTCGCCAATGAAACCGGTGCATTTAGCCAAAGCAGTACTGACTGTGCGCCGTGTAGCTCAAAGAACACCTATTCCACCCTTTTCATCATTTGTGTGTACGCCACAGTGCCCTGCCACCACCCGACGAAGCCAAGCCCCAAGAAGCCGTGTGCGCACCCCCAAACGATTTCGGGAGTAACCTGGTACCTGGAAGTCAAGACGTAAGATCAGCGCAGGCCGGAGTGGCGCGAAGACCGTACTCACGCTTCGAAGAAGGACCCCAAGGTGAGCGGGATGAAGCGTGGAGCTTGGAAGAGTACGGTCGATAAGATACTATGGTACACGCAAAGGCCGATAGCAAGGGCCCGTTTCCCGGGAAGGAACTCTGGGACGTCTCGGTTCATAATCGCATCTTCCTCATATACATAGGAATAACTCACCCGGTAGAGGATAGCAGAGTAGCGCGATAATGCAAACACTTAGTACTAGTGACGAGTACATCTTTTTGGACAGTAAATTAGAGCAGCACTTCTTATCGTCGGGTGTTCCAACGCACTTTTAGCACGACAATCGTGGTGTTGTTGAGCTGAAGGAAAGGGAGGGAAGAGGGCATCCAAATCCCTTGGATAGCCAAAGGGACCTCCATGGCGATATGGAGTAAGAACACCGTAGAGCTGAGGTATCGGAACCAATGAGCCTAGTGCTGAACATATCCACGCAAGACGTACAGAGGGCTTCGTCCAGGGCTGGCTCATTGTGACGGTTGTTGGTAGGTTGAGGTTGGGGAATGGGGTGAGAAAATAGTTGCCTTGTCGTAACCGTCAGGGACACGCGTTCTAATCTCAGATCCGCATATTTCCGTGGCACTGGCACTTATCTGGAGATCTTATCTTTAAATGGTTCCATTCCAGCTAAACCGTACTTGGCTCAAGGACACCACCCAAGCTATCACTTACGGCGGTAATTGTGCCCCGCTGAAAGGAAAGGGAAATTCGGGACTCTGGCCCTATTTGATCGACGATTTCTCCAAGCCGCATTATTTCAGAAAAGAAGACTGCTTCTCGAACCGATCCTCACCTTCGTCTAGAGCGGGATCGGGACTGCCTTCTCAAACCCGCTGGCGAAGCACGCAACTGGCGACAGCTTCGCGATCCTTCGACTGACATGCTAGAACCATACAGTACTGATATCTCCCGCAGTACTCGGGGCCTGTTAGCGCAAACCCTTTGCCTCTCATTCAAGTGACTTCTCGCAGCAGTAATGTGCATAGTAACCGTTCCTACTGCCTGCTGGAATTAATTGGTGGGAGTATAGCGCTCGACGTAACTAGCATCTTAAGAAGTGTTCTGTACCTCTCGAATGCTTTCGCGAAAAAAATTAAAATGAAAATAAAAGTGGCACGGCGCGTTCTCGAGATCTCACCAGATCTCACTATCAACAGCCGCACAATAAGCTGTTTCACTTTATGCAAACGGGGCTCTAGGCTCAAATATTTGATTTTAGAAGCCCACGTTCTTAAGGTCTTCTGTGCGCGACTTTGAGTACTCGACACACCACGGACTGCGGCGCTATAATGACGCCCGTGACCGCTTCATGACCGATTCCCCCGATGCTTTGATGGCCGGCCGACTTACTCTTTAATTTCAGCTCTGGTTACAACAGCATAAGCCGCCCATAATTCATCGTGCGCGTGGTGCAGCGGCGGAGAGGAGGACGGGGGGCTTTTTGGCGGCCGATAGTACGCTAGCCCTTACCAGCTGTGGTATATTTGGCACAGGTACATTCGGAAGCCCGCCCCGTTCACACCCTGGTTCACACGCACGAATTCTCTCGGGTTGATGGGTGGGCCAGAGAAGGACCACGATACGGGAAAGAGCGGGACTCAGAAGCCGAAGCGCTTAGGGAGAGCCACAACCTCACCACTTGCTGGATAGCTCGCGAGCTCGTGCGGGGGTTTCCTGTGTCCTTTCTAGGCCCAGAAAAGAGGCGCTGGTGGCACTGTGAATGTCGCAGGGCACATACTTTGCTCAAAACTAATAAACTTTGTCTGTAGCTTCAACAACACATCGTAGACACTTCAAATTTTACAAAGCCATAGAGCAACCTATATCGCACTGCATTATTTATTTTTCTCAGGATTTGAGGTTTTCCGCACCTTTGCACACCTTATCACCCTGGGGGCACCATATGTGAGTTTCGTTTCTGCAGCTCGATCGCCCCAAAATAAATTCATTATTCATGGTGCTCGCCATGCATTTTATTGTCCCAGTAAAAATAATTTGTGTAGAGGTATCGAGATCGTCGGGATCTGAGGTGTGAACTCCTGCACAAAACCACCCTCCCGGAATTTTGATTCTTTTTTTGTAGTCGTAAATCTGTGTAGATCTCCGGTATAATTCATGATCTCGTATCGACAGAACTTACTGTATCTGCTGTTTTCTTTTTTGGGAAGAAAGACTAACGGGAAAGTGCTCAGATCTCTTAGACGTGTACACGTGCAAAGGTCCAGATACGATAGTATTATTACAGTAGAATTCCATGTTCCGGTGCACAGCAACTGTGTAGAAAAAAAAACAGAGTGCACGGCGGCCGTCTGGGGATGATTTAGAAAATTGGCAACTCGCAGGAGATAACTGACAAGAGGCACATTAAGCTTAAAAATATGGATGCACTGGCATGCATCGGCTCACATTTGACGGACGTATGATCTCAGAAAAAAAAACGGTCTATGAAATATTGCAAGCGAGCGGATGGATGCCCCCCGCCTCCGATTCCTCTCTTGTGGTAGCGTCTAGAAAAATAAACAATACGTCGTTAATGGCTGGATTACATCATTCTCACTACTCATCCACAACCTCCGGTCATATCGCAGTATCATTCCACAGTGCAGTTGGGAAGGCTGACACCCTCACGCCAGACCGGAGGCCTGACCGTCTGTGACCGTCGCCGGAAAGGGGTGGTATCGCACGAGTAGTTTCAAGTAAATAGCGTGCCGTGAGATCCGGTATGGGAACACAGCGAGACATCTAGGAACCCTCACACGAAGCCAGTAAATAAGGTACCCGACTCTAAGCCGGATCGCATGTGGGGTTACCCTTCTTTGGAGCGAGGTGAGGATAATCACGAGGACCGGGAAAGGTCTTATCAGCCCAGGGGAGAAGAAAGACAAGAAGGTGGAAAGACACGGAACGAAGTCGGGAGTGAAGCCGGTTGGAGTCACAGAGACGTCTGGAGCGAGATAGGGCGGGAGAGAAAACAATAGATCGATCCAGTCAGCGTCAATCCCACGTTCCACACAGAGAAAAGAATTTTCAGGAGACCGTACAACGTTGCACATACGTCGCGACGACGCTATAAAACACAAATTCTCTTCGTCGAGAGGTCCACTGCAATATACCTAATCATCACCACACCGAGAAATGTAACCAGCGCCCCAAAGCGGCCCAGTAAGGATCAGTAACGCTACTCTGCCATATCTTCGTCTCCATCGTCTCCGTCATACGTGCTTGAACCCCGGCGCCATGGGCCAAGCTCGCCTTGATCGACGTCACGCTCTAGATCGATATCTTCTGCACCGTCTCGCCAGACGTCCTCGCTTATAAACCCACGTAAACGTTGCACCTCGTAGCGGAGAAGCGCTATTTCGTTGTCACGCCTCGAGATTTTCTCCTTGAGTAGGCGGATGTACTCGTTTCCACAGCGCAGGAGCTGTAACTTGCTGATACCCCGATTCGGGCCTTCTGCGTTGCCTCTGGGTGGCCCGCGGGGAGGCATGGCACCTGGTAAAATTGGCTCATCGGGGAAACCTTCCTCAGTGGGTAGGGGGATCGGAGGGAGTAGCGTGCGTAGGTTATCGAACGTGGTCTTAAGTGAATCACGACGCTTCTGCTCAGCCGCTTTGTGTGACGATTTACGGAGGACAGGCGATGGCAGGGACGATGAGGCAAGTGTATTAGAGGAATACACATTTCCGGCTAATGCGTGGGGAGTTAGTCTTATCTTACATGAGAGAAGGTACACGATTTACCGGGTAGAATAGGCTTCAAGCTTAGTGAGAGCCCGGTGCCTTTTTTGGTTGAAGGCACGGAAGTTGCCGTGTCTTTCCCACGACCAGCGGATTTACCCTTGGCGTCATTTTTTGCTGGAGGCGCAAGCCCACTGTTAATGCCAAGCCCTCCAAGATTCATGATGCTAGCAGGTGTGACAGGCGTTATGTTATGACCACGGCCAGTAGCACTCGTCGGCGATGTACTTGCAACGACCATGTTCGTTAAAGGAGGTGATGATCCCTTGGATGATCCGGGCTCGGACTGCGAAGCTGGTGCGACTGGTGGTGGCATTGACAAGTCCACTGGTGAAGGGGTATCGCCGGGTGCTTCGCCACTGCTGCCATTCTTGCGTACCCCACCGCGCGTAGAGCGTATAAGAGGTGTCGATGATGCAGATTTTGTACCGCGCGACACACGTTTCGTGGAGTTCGAAGCGGGATGGACGCGCGGCGAGGGTGACGGACGTTGTCTAGCGAGTTTTGCTTGTTCTTCTTCATGTGGTGACGCAGTGCGTTTACTTCGTCGTTGCTGAGAAGAATCGGGTTTATATGCATCCATCCAGGGACTCAAAGGCGAAAGATCTAAATCCAACTCTCCAGGTGAGGGTAGGGGGATAGGTGGTGTCGTATTAAAGACTAGATTGGCTGGTGCTGAGCGGACATCGTGTGCGGTCGACATATGATGA